TTTCTTAGGACGACCGGACCGTAATATAAAAGAAACGCTCTTAATTCGGATGCTTTCCAATTACTAAGATGAGACAATTTTCTCGGTGTTCGTGTGACCTCATCAGGTGGTGTTATTGTTTCGATAATTTCGTCTCGAACTTCCTTAGGCAAGTAATAATCTTTTTCGTGACTTTGTGTACTGCACCACAACTTAAGGAGCATAAGCATTACGCCAAGTAAAACTGCGTGCATATAGTCGGCGATAAATCCTTTCGACCTGTCAAAATGAGGTATTGAAGTTACAATCGATAGACCTTTAACTCCTTTGAAATGCTTTAAATTTTCGTATCTCTCAACAATTATTGTTTGCGTCTCCATACGTTCAGCAGTTCTCAGCGGAGGTTCTTCATCAACTATTGGAAAAATCCAATTAGAACCACAACCTGTTTCGCAAGACTCTCCTGTTGCTTCGCAACTCGCACAACTATTTTCTCCATTATATAGCATAAGATTTTGCACTGATGCTTTAGCCGGCGCATCTAAACATGCAAGAGGAGCAACAATTTTACTTGTGATTGTTCGATTCGACACTGGATGAATCCATTGAAATCCATTGGTGTATAAATTTTCCAAAGTCAATGCAAGAGGTTTAAAGTAAGAATTCATATCCGGTTTTTTGCAGCTGCGGTTCGTATAAAAAACGCCACACACGAATTGAAAGTTTCTTCGGTATTTAGGACTAATGTTTGCGACTTGTACATAAATCGGCCACATGTTACTTTTTCCGCTTTTAGAGACTTGTACTCCGTCCGTAAACAAAATTAAAATCAAGTCATATTCTCCAGGTATTGCTATAGTTTTTAGAATACGATATTCTGTACCTGATGTTATGTCATACAAATTTTCTTCATTTCTATTCTCACATACATTACGAAAATCATCTATTAAGGCATGAAGATTTCTTATTTCGAAGGCATTTCGTAGGTACGATTCCAAGTTAAATTCTAAAAAGCAACTTTCTACCTTCCTACTACTACCTTTCACATATCTCTACTTGATTTTCATCAATCCATTTCCCTAAATAATAGAAACAGACCGAACAAATTCTGTGTTTAGTTGATAAATTAGCTTCTGCATTAGGTAGTACCCTGTCAATTAATGACAATAATCTATGCTTCGTATAAGGAATTGTGTGGTCATCTGGTAAAAATAGATCAATTGTAGTTAATATGTCTCCTAAGGCTTTTTTAGTCAAACGATTTGTCACATAAACCTTTAATATTTGACACAATGCATCGCCACCACGAAGCGTTGCATGTTCATAAATTGGTTGGTGCAGCCAATTTGCTGCATTTTCATTATCACTATCGTCATTGTAATTAATTTCGGATATTGACGATGCTGACAATGACGATTCAGACGACGAATGCTCAGTTGACAAATTTAAAGAGGAATTTTCGAACTCGCCTCTATTCATATCGTTTTCAATTTCAGATTCCGAAGATAAACTAAGAGAAAAAGTATTATTTAAAGGTGATAATATTGGAAAATCGTCCACTGATGGCGCTAAAGATACGGAAGACGCTAAAGACATTGAAGATGCTCTATTTGACGATGATTCTGTAGCTTCCGTAGTACTTTCACTTTGTAACAAAGATGAATTTGATGAGTTCAAAATGTCTTCAACTGGTGACGACATGTTTAATGGCGTTGGAGTATTTTGAATTTTATTATCAAATGAGCTCTGCAAATAATAGAAAATATTTTATACTCTTAAAATTTTATTTAAGATTTATTTTAAGAGTTAATTCTTTTAAGAAGAATATTTTTAAACAAAATATTCAAGATAAGACATTTTTATTTTTATTGTTTCTCAATACATATTGTAATCTATGTAAATATAAAATAATTTTTTTTTAAAAATTAAAAATGTCGAACATACATAAACATTCCAGTGCACATGTACATTAATTTTGATCTGAAACGAGTAAAAAACATTTTTTGTAAAAGTGATAAATTTTGAACAGAGTGATGTAGCCGTTTTGAAAAAAAAAATTTTACGTAAATGGGAGCACTTTAAAGTTAGATTTTATTTTTTGGGCTAAGAAAATCTAACTATAAAGTGCTCCTATTTAGGTAAAAAAAAATTTCAAAACGGCTACGTCACTCTGTGAAATAATTTATCACTTTTTAGAAAAAATGTTTTTTTACTTGTTTCAGATCAAAATTAAAATGACAATCATGTCCACCATCAAGGAATGAACTGCTGCACTGGAATGCGCGCATCTCTACCATTTTTAATTTTTTTAAAAACTATTTCGTATTTACACAATTTACAATATGTATTTTTAAGAAGCAATAAAAATGTCTTATCTTGAATAATTTTTTTTTAAAAAAATTCTTAAAAAACCGTCTAATTTAAATGCGTTCTGGGTGGCGTAACCCCTTAATTTGATATTACATTTACTATTTATTGTGAAGTGTGTAGTTTCAGATGGAGTAAATAGAAACGAAATTGCAAAATAAATCATTAAAAAATTATAAACATAAAAAGCGTAATGTATTCTTTTAAATTAAAGTTATATTCTGTTGTTGTAGTATTATAAGGGTCAGAATTCGTGAAATTTTCACAGAAAATAAAAAGTATTTTTTTTAAATCGAAATGTTGAAAAAACATTTCGATTTGGCAGTGTTTTGTTCATTTCGTAGTTAAAAATAATGTTTTTATTCTGAAAATCATCAAAATCGCATCTCCGTTCAATATAATTTCCATTATAACTTTTAAAATAATTGTCGCTCCAAAATTTTCTCAACGGATTTTGATTTCTTATAGTTTTAAGTGTATGTTAATATTTTTTTCAAATTTTTAAAAGGCGTAGAACATTAAAAAAAATTAATTGTTTTTAAAAAATAAACTTTTTAAAAATTTTCTAATTCTGAAAGAAAGTATATTTTATCCCATTGAAATTCCCGCTTGGTTCATTTAAATCGGTTCATTCATTTAGGAGAAATCAAATTTTGTTTAAAAAGTTGCAAAAAAATTAATTTTGCAATAACTTTTATAAAAAATAATTTTTTTTCTGTTTTTTGGTGGACAAAATCTTAAGGCCAAATAGAAATGTTTTTTCAACATTTCGATTTACAAAAAATATTTTTTATTCTTTGTGAAAATTTCACGAATTCTAACCCTTAATAAAAGATAATTATAAATAATAATATAAATTTTTTAGTTTGCTTTTCTCAAACACAAAACAAAATATTATAGGAGTGTCTGATTTGATTTTTAATTTTTTATGCAACCAGAAATATCGTTATATATTCTGATGCTAATTTACATACGAAAAATAGAAGAAAACTTAGAAGCTCTTTCGGCTGATTTAATAGAATTAATGCTGTTATTTATTTAAGAAAATTTAATTTGTTTAACTAATTACTGTTTCAATTTATACCCATATAGTTTCTATTTCTCCACCTAATCCTATGTAAGAAATCTAAAAAGTATTCTCTTAATATAAAGATTCCTTCTTTTACCTAACATTACATGGAAAAATCACTATTTAATTGTTTTAAAAAAAGTTTCCATAAATTTTAGTAAATCTTTAACTGACTGGAGTTTTCGTTCATTTTTATAAATTTTTTCTATTATTTAAGTAAATTTTACTATTTCCATTGCACTTTTTCAATAAAATTAGTGAAAAGTAATGATAAAGCTAATTTTCTACCTCAAATAAAATTTTATAAATTTTCTTCTCGAAAATATTATTTCAAAACAGTATTTTTTAGAAAAAAAGTACTTAATTTCCCATGTGAAAACATTAATTTTTTAATCATTGGTCATTGTTTTATCAACTTGAACTTTAGGTGAATCTTATAATAACAATTATAATAAAGTAAATAAACTTCACAAATTATAAATATCTATATACCTATTATAGAAATTGTTTATTAATAATTTTATATCAAAAGGTTTAAAATTTACATTTAAGAAAAATGTGACTTATAAAATTAGATAATTTATGGATAGAATAGATCAATTACAATTTCACTCTGTTAATACTTTTTGAATAAATTAAATTAACTAAATATATTCAAAAATTTATAACTTGAAGTGGTTTTAAATATAAATGAACTTACCAATAGAATTTTGAATTATTATTATCCTTTTTAATTTCTTCCATTTGTAATGAAGTTGTGATAAATAAACGATTAATTATTATTAACCTCTTAACCTAAAATTCAAAATAAAAGTTTCGTTCTTCAAAAATTTTATTCGCATATTAATATGAAAGATAAAATTAATAATATATATGAATTACAAAATAAAATAAATGAAAATGATTGATAATAAGTATATAATAAACTAATAACTACCAACACAACTAAGAAATATACAAAACTGAATGTTTGCTGTTCTTCTCCGTACCTGTAAGCGTGAGCCATTTTCGTAATTAAAAACAGTTGATTCTATCAATGTCGCTCTGCTTATCTTCCAAAAGATTTCGTATAAAATGCGTAACATTCCAAAAGTGTTCAATTCTTATATTTTGCATAAATTTTTTATACAAGTTAGGTATTTCTTTCACGTTTACGAATTTCACTTCCATGTGACTTCTGAATACCTATTTTGCATTGAACTAAAGACGAGTTTCCATTGGTGTGACTAAAATTCGACGTGCGCACATGGATTGTCTATTGCACCAATAAAATTTAACTTTAAATATGAAAATAAATTAATTATAAGTATAATTTAAAATTAATGATTAAATAAATATTTGAATATAGTTAATATAACTAACATTCAATTTTATTACTACTACAATTAATTATAATTATTAATTATATTTGTAGATTTGACAATCGACCAATAACTATAATAAAGAATTCGGTTATCTGCTCTCGGAGTGCTTTTGCTTCGTGCAAATTTGTTAAATCGAGTATTTTACTCTTTCGGGGAGCACTCGAGCACTTTGGAGCAGAAAACTCAATCTGCTATAAGTCATTCTAACCTATAAATAAAAAGATAAAATAAATTATGATGGACAACGAGGAGAATGAACGAAAATTTTTAATAGACTGCTTTACTAACGACGGATGGTTTTACATCGTGAAAGAATCGGCTTTGTTGATAACAGAAAAATCTGAAATTAAAGTTGGGGCTAAAGTGCAATTCGCGTATCCTGAGGACGTTAAACAGCCGAAAATTCGAAGAGGAAAAATTATCATGGAATCAGGTATGTAATATTAACTATTTTTCTTAACACACACTGTTGGAAACGAAATACTAGTCATAAATTATTGAGGGTATAATTTGAGTTCTAAATAAATAAAATTCTCCTAACTACTTTTAAAAGAATGTAATGCTATGTATATAAATCGTAAGTTTTGCATTATAGAAAATTGTTTGCGCTATATAATTTTTTAGAATCTGACGAAATTTTGGACAAGGAAATGGAAAGGATGATAAAAAAATATGAAAAATATAATATTACGAAGGCTGAGGTAGTAGACAAAGAAAATTTGGAGTATGAAGAGAAAAGATTAAGATTCAAGGAAAGGGCAAGAGAAGGAAATGTCTTTATGGCTGTGCATTTACAAAATGAATTAAATATAAAAAATAAAGAGAAAGAAAATTTAATGATTAAAATTTCAAATGCTTTGACATTAACGGAAGAAGCCAATGAAGCACTTTTAAATATTACAAAGGTGATTATTTTCCAAGAAACTTATTGTGTTTATGATTGTTTGACTATTTTTAGAAAATTTAATTTTTGATATTATCTTCTTTTTATAAAGGACCTGCAAGAAAATTGGAAACCTCAATAAAGAAAAAAGCTGCTTATTAAAATAAATTAATTATTTCTGTTTATAAAGCTTAATTAATAAATATTTTTTTCAATTAATTTATAGCGAATTGTTCATTTTAAAATATAGTGAAAAAAATGTTATTTGATGTAAATGAAAAAAATAACAATCGAATGATAATTTTTGAGAGTTTTATTTTTGATAGTAATTTGTTCAGAAAATCTCTCGCAATTGATTAATAATCCTTGTATAAAAATTTTATTTAAATGCAAAGTAAGTTACAATTAGTTAATAAAAACGGTTAGGTCATCTTATTTATTTGTTCAAAAATTAATTATTGAATATTTTCTCAAAATTATTTTCTTATTTTGGTATATATTGGAAATATTTAAAAAATTAATTTTATTATTAACTTCACATCATTACTAATTTATTACTGATTAATACGAAATTAAAAAACAAAAGATTCACGAAAACAAAAGTTGAATGTTTTTATTTAACCTTTTACGAGTTACAAGATTGCTCAGAATTCAAAAAATTGTTTAAATATTAAAAATAAACAGTTTTATCATCCAATTATGGATGAAGAACAAGTTTTACTTGAGTGGGACGGTTGTTACACTATAGTGAACAAAAGTTCTATAAAATTCGATCCAGCGAATCTCGAATTGAAAATTGGTTCATCGGTTAAATACTTATGGCCTGAAGAAGCTGCACACAAAAAATATTATACTGGAACTATCATTGAAATTTCAAGTGAGTATATAATTAAATATATAATTTAAATAGTTCGATTTTTCATTAATATTAATTTTTGACATTTGCTTTTATGTTCATTAACAAAAATGATAATAATTGCTTTTAAAATATTAAATTCAATAACTTTTTTATCATTTTCAACTGTTATCAGGTAGCGAGAATGAACTAATAAAACTGCGAGAGAAAAAAATGAATGATATGAGAAAAAATCCTGCTAGAAAACGTAAAGGTGATAAATCCACAACAGAAAATGAAGCTTCGAAGAAACCATGCGTATGTATTATTTATACAATAAATTAAATGTAGAACTTTCAATATGTTTAAGGCTATTAAAATTTTTTTTACAATTATTGCATAATTTCAAATATACAATTGAGTGAAGTCAAAGATGACAATTTCATTAATTTTTGTAGTAAAGCTGTTATTTTATATATTTTTTAATTTTTACCTAATTAATTTTACAGAAGCAGGTGATGCCCAATTATCATATATTTCAAGCTTTATCAACGAAAGTAGAATCAATTTTGATACTTAATGAACGTTTGTCTGCAGAGCTCAAGGAATTTAGAGAAGTAATAATATAACTTATTTTGATTTTTATAATGCAAAAAATAACTATAAACAAATTTTTCAAAAATTGTTTGTGAATCATTTTTTTAACGTAATTAAATTTATCAAATATTTCTATTATAAAAACCTTTTTGAGTAGTTGAAATTTTGTAAAATTTAATTAAAAATAATTTATTTATTTCAAGTATTTAATTTATTTAAGTATTTAATTTTTGAAGAATTTGAATTGCAAATTTTAAAAATAATTTAAATATAAAAAATCTTTAAGGGTAAATTTAAAAATGAAAATTAATGAAAATTACCTTTTTTTAAAATTCAATATTTTCAGTATTTTCAATTACATATTTTAGAAAATTCAAATACATACAAAAATAATAACATTTTAGAATTCTTTTTAACATTTTGAAGAAAACAATGAAGTTCAAAATTTTTAATTAAAATTTTAAAAAATAATTAGTTTTTTTAAATTTTATACAAAAATTTTTTCGAAAAATTACATTTAAATATTTTTAAAAACTAATTATTCGATTTGTTTTGTAATAATTTTTTAAGATTCAATTATCTTCGAACAATGTAAATAGAAGTTTATGAAAATTTACCTTTTGGACTTATTAAAATTTTTGAGAAATCATGGTCCTGTTTATAATTAAAATTCTTCAAAAATTTGATAATGTTTATATATATTTTTCAAAAATTTAATTATTTTTAAAAGATTTTACCAAATTTTAATTGTTTGGAAATTTTTAAAAATTGAAAAATTATATTTATATACCTAATTACAATTATTATAAAAAACTGAGTTTTTGTATTTAAATACTTGAATTCTAGAAGACCTTTTGGGAAATTACTTAAATTAATTGATTCAGAGATGAAGTTTAGTTGAAAATTGTAAAAAAATAATTGAATTCAGGAAGGGTTATAATTGAAATTTTTAGAAATTATTAAACTTCATAAATTTTACCCATTTTCCATAAACATTCATATTATCATATTATAAAGATATGTTTTATTTAAATTACAACTAATAAAAATAAAGATCGAAAAGCTTCTAATATAATTAATTTAAAGTATTTAAATGTATTAAAATGTTTTATTTAAATTACAACTAATAAAAATAAAGATCGAAAAGCTTCTAATATAATTAATTTAAAGTATTTAAATGTATTAAAATGTTTTATTTAAATTACAACTAATAAAAATAAAGATCGAAAAGCTTCTAATATAATTAATTTAAAGTATTTAATCATCACGAATTTTTTGCTAAACTTTTGATCAACTGGAAATAGGTTACTTATTAAATTGTAAATATTTTTAGATGCTCCAGAATGAAGATTTATATCCAGAAGCTACAGTACCAGCAATTGCTGTTGATGCTGAATCATCTCGAACTGAGTCAGTACTACCTCAAACTATGCAACAATCAACCCAGTCTACTTCAGAAAATATTTCACAGTCTGGCCATTCAAATTTAGAAGAGGATATTGATAACAACTTAGAAAAAATACCAGAAGTAGAAAACACTGATCGAGTCTTAAATGAAAATGAAGAGGACAGTTTGTTTTTATTCACTAAACACACTGCAGGAGAAAAGGCGACTGAGTTAATCCAAGGAAGTAATGTGTACATCGATAAAACTACTTTAAAAGACATCAAACGACGTGCCAATTCGCAAACCGTGGTTGCACGCCTTTTAATGACTTCGATATTTAAAGAAGATACATTTTTGCAGTACAGTTTGACAAAAAAAGGGCCCAAAGATAAAGCAAAGCAGGCTCTTCCAGCATTTGCTATTGATGCAATATTGAGTAAGTATTTTTTTGTTACAAAGATTTTTTAAAAATGGTTCCTGCACTTCAAAAATTTTTTAAAATGTATTAAAAATATAATCAAAAGATTTTGATTCACGATTGAAAGTGATGACGATATAATATTCACACGAACGAAATAAATTAAGAAACGTAAATAGAAATAGAAATAGTTTATTAGGAAACACGTCCGTTAGACATAACAGTTTTAAAAGAACTGATTGACTTTTATAAAATAACAAAAATAGACAAAAGAATATTAATTCCTTAGCAACGATTCGAGTTTGTATTGTTTAAGATTATTATATTATTAACACTACCCCTCAATATAAACTCAGTATTTTTAAAAATATTCTTTCAATAGTCCCAAAGAATTAATGCATTGATTGTGTTTAGTTTTTGATAGTGATTTTGTCAACACATCAGCGGGCATATTTTCTGAAGCGATGTGTTCCAAAATGATCTGTCCTGATTCCACAGTTTCACGAACGAAATGATGTCGAATGTCGATGTGTTTCGTCCTGGCGTGATGAATGGGATTCATGGCTAATTTTTGTGCGCTGTTGTTGTCGACGTGTAATTTTATATATTCTAGATTCTTCCCTTCAAGTTCCGAGAGGAAACGTTTGAGATGTATCGCTTCTTTTGCTGCCTCGCTCATCGCCATGTATTCGGCCTCCGTACTTGAAAGGGCAACCGTGCGTTGTTTTCGAGAGTCCCATGTGATTGCACCACCGCCCATGATAAAAGCATATCCGGTAAAGGACCGTCGATCATCTAAGGATCCACCCCAGTCTGCATCTACGTATCCGGCTAATGGCATCTTTTCTCGATGATAGAATATTCCATGATTGTCAGTTCCTTTTAGATATCGAAGTACTCTTTTCGCTGAGTTCCAATGGTCTTTGTTGAAACAGTCATTAAATTGGCTCAAAACACTTGCTGCATGAGCCACATCAGGTCTCGTTGCAATTGATAAGTAGAGCAAAGATCCAACGAGTTCTCGATAGGGAGGTTTCTCACCGTCGGAGTTCTTCCATTCTCCTCCTTTTACGAGTTTTGTTCCTGTGTCAAGTGGTGTTGAAACTGGATTACTATTTTCCATTCCAAAACGAAGTAAAATTTCTCTTATATAGGTTTTCTGATTTATGAAGATTCCATTTTCGTTTCTGTGGAAATCCATACCAAGGCATCGTTTGACTTCACCAATGTCTTTGACTCCAAAAATATTTCCAAATTTAGTTCCAAAATTGGTAATTTTGTTGAGGTTTTTGCACATTACTAAAATGTCATCGACGTATACGACAAGAGTGATTAAGTCTGTTTCATTTCGATTAAGGTATACGCATGGATCAGATTTTGACGGTTCGAATCCTAAGCTTTGTAGTTTGGAATTTAAAAGTTGGTGCCAAGCTCGTCCTGCTTGTTTTAGACCGTAAATTGCTTTCTTCATTTTGCACACTTTGTCGCCTTCATTTATGCTTTTCAACATGAATTCGGCTTGTTGATTAAATTCGTCGTTACTTGGTCCTTTGTTTATGACGTATTTTAGGACGTCCACCATCCGATCTGGTAGTTCCATGTAGACTTCTTCATTTAGTTTTCCGTTTAGGTATGCCGTAGTTACGTCAAATTGTTGAATATACATGTTGTTTTGTACTGCGTGGGCTATTGTTGTCCGAATAGAACTTAGGCGTGCAACAGGAGAGTAAGTTTCGTTAAAATCTCGTCCATATTGTTGAGAATATCCTTTTGCAATAATTCTTGCCTTTTTCTTTTCCAGGTTGCCGTTCGTACCGTATTTGTTTCGAAGAATAAATCTACTTCCGATTACATTTGATGATTTGTTTCTATCGACTAGTTCCCAAGTTTTCTTTTCCAGGATGGACTTCGTCTCATCAGCCATTGCTTCCATCCATTCGTCTGCATTTTGACCGGTTAATGCCATTTTGATAGGAATTTCGATGTTTATGAAAGAAGATTCATTTTGGTTCTCGTTGGTAGATGGTGTTGTACAAGTTGTTCCATATTCTATTCTTGGTCTTCCTCGTTTTCCAGTGTGTATGGTTCGAGGTCTTCCTCGTCTTCTTCGATCGAAAGAAATTATATTAGGGAATCCAAGAAAATCTTCGTCGCTTGATTCTACTCCTCCTTGTTCTGGTTGTGCGTTTTGATCTATACCATTAATGTTGTTTTCTTCGTAGGGTTCTTCTACGTTTATATTATTTCCATTGACAACTTTCTTTTCGTTTTTGCAAAGATCAATTTCGATTTCCAGTCTGCGGTGTTCTGATTCTTCCATGTCGGTTTTCGATTCTGGTTCTTTGTTTTTGAGATAGAATTCTTCAAAGATTTGTGTTGGTTGATTGGTAGTTTGATTTAGGAATTTGACATCTCTTGAGGTTATTGTTTTCTTTTCTTTTGGCAACCAAATCCTGTAAGCTTTTGATGTCGAACTGTAGCCTATGAATATACCTTCTCTTGATCGTGGTTCTAGCTTTCCTCGACCAGGAGTCCTGTCCATCACGAATACCTCGCATCCAAAAGGTTTAAAATCGGTCACATCTGGAGCTTCTCCAAACCAGCACTCGTATGGAGTTTTTCCATTAAGCTTGCTTGATGGTGATCGATTTCGGATAAAATTTGCCGTAGAGACTGCTTCTGCCCAGAAGGTTGATGGTAAGCCGGATTGAATCAGAAGACATCTTGCAGTATCCATCAGGGTCCTGTTCTTTCTTTCTGAGACTCCGTTTTGTTCTGGGTTGTAGGGAGCTGTTAATCGCCTGGATATTCCATGTTGTTTGAGTAGATTGTCGAATTTGATGTTATCGTATTCTTTTCCGTTGTCTGTTTGCAAACATTTTACTTTCTTTCCTTGCTGAGTTTCCACATACTTTATATAGTTTTCGAATTCGTCTACAGCTTGGCTTTTTTGTTTCAGAAATTTTATTTCGCACCATCGTGAGGAGTCGTCTATAAAGGTTATATAGTATTTACTACCTCCATACGAAATCGTCCGCATTGGACCACAAATATCAGAATGTACAATGTCGCTTATATTCGATTTTCTTTCAGATACCTTTGGAAAAGGAGGTCGAGACATTTTTCCCTGGATACATGTTCTGCAGTCAAAATCTTCTTTGGATCCCTCGATCTTGATTCCTCGTATTGCTCCTGTTCGTGTGGCTTCTCGAAGGGATTTAAGGTTTAAGTGACCCATTTTGATGTGCCAATCTTCCAGAGAATTTTTCTTTGGTGTTCTCATTGTAGTGTTTGTTTCGAAAATCTTCTTGCACTCGGGATTGACAATTTCTTGAAAATAATACAGATCTCGTTCACGCTTCGCTGTAAGTAACACGTTTCCACTATTGTCAATTACTTGGGCTTTATTTTTATCGAAAATTACGTTGTGTCCTTTGTCGGTAATTTTTGACACAGAAATTAGGTTGGTCCGAAGGTCGGGAACATAAAGTGTATCGTCAAGTTTTATTGATTTTGACGCATTACCTGTCATGATGATCGTATTAACTGTTCCTCTACCTGCGATGTTCGTGCTCCCGTTGTTTGCTAGATTTAGTTTGCTCGGATTGTTATTTTGGCGTATTTCGGTGAATGATTCGATGTCTTTGCACATATGAGAAGTACATCCACTGTCGAAGCACCAAAATCCAGAATTTTCGTTGCTTCCGATTTGAAGAGATTTATGCTCCGTTTCGTTTACGTATAAACTGAGATCTTCAATACCACTAGCCGACAGTTCGTTCACCTTTTTCGCGTTTTTACAAAATTTCGCTCTGTGACCGATCGAGCCACATTTAAAACACTTCATTTTTGAGTCCTTTTTCATGGTGTTTTCGTTTTTCGAATGCGGTTGAAAGTTTTCGCGTTGTTTGTTCCATGGTCGTTTTGCAAATAATGCGCCTTGCGATGTTGATCCTCGATTCAGTTCCTTTCGTGCATCGGATTCTTCTTCGATCTTGATCCGTAAGGTTTCGAGAGACGGTAGCTCATCTCGGGAAGACATAGCACAACGAAAATTTTCGTAGGATTCCGGTAAACTCCGGAGGAGCATGACTGACAATAAGTCTTTGTTGATGACTATTTCGAGTTCCTCTAGTTTATCTATTGTATCGAAGAAAGAACGAGAAAATTCGCGAACATCATCACCTTCATTCATTTTCAGTGACATTAAATGATTCAGCAGAGCAGCTTTCCTTGCAGGTCCTTTGGATTGATATATACTTTCCAGTTTGATCCAGATTTCTGATGCGGTAGAGATATTTTTGATCTGCTTGATTTCAGAGGGATTCATCGCGAGGATGATGTCTGACTGCGCTTTTAGATCCGCTTCTACCCAAGCATCCGCTGGTCCTTGTGATTCTGCATTTCCTGCCGTGATCGTCGGTTTGACGATGGTTCCATTTGCATAATTCCACGAATTATTTTTTATTAGAATCGCGCGCATTTGAATTTTCCAAGTATCATAATTTTCCTTGGATAGTAGTTCAAATCTCACTCCGGTCGTGTTCATTTTATTTGACGTTTTCGATAAAATGACGTTAGACTCAAAACAAAAAATATTCGATGAATTTAAAAAATTTCTCCGTACGTTTTTATTTTAATTCAAGATTTCGCGACACGTCCTGGGCCCATAACCTGATGACGATATAATATTCACACGAACGAAATAAATTAAGAAACGTAAATAGAAATAGAAATAGTTTATTAGGAAACACGTCCGTTAGACATAACAGTTTTAAAAGAACTGATTGACTTTTATAAAATAACAAAAATAGACAAAAGAATATTAATTCCTTAGCAACGATTCGAGTTTGTATTGTTTAAGATTATTATATTATTAACAGAAAGTTTAGAAAATTTTAAGAACTTTAATGCTGAATTGTTTAAAATAATATAAATTTTTGTTCTTCATTATTATTAGATAATACAAATCTACATTTTTTAAATACTAAAGTCTTTTCAGTAAAACAAATTTTTTTTATATTTATAATACAAATAATCTTCTGTATTATTTTATTGAATTTTAAATGTTATCGATTGCAAAGTGACTTAATCTAATTATTTAAAAAACTGTAATATTAAAAAAATATATTTTGTTTCAGAATACGCCTATGCAGTGGCCAAACGATCCAATTGGCCAATAAGTGATGATCGTACAGTAAAGGACAGCCTAAGATCTAAAATTAAAGAAATTAAGAAGAATATCATGAAGAAAAACATAAAATAAATCATAAAAAATATAATCTTCGTTTGTGTTAATTGATTATAATAAATAT